ATTTTTGCATCTTATATTAGGACAACAGAAAATAAACCATTTAAAAAATATTTTTCTGTATATAACAAAGTGTGTTTGATATTTAATATTTGAGCACCACCCTTAATATTTTTTGGAAGATGAAGGAATATGTTTTTTCTGGACTTCCACAAAAATTTTCAAAAACTTCCGAACTCCACCTAAAAATAGGTTGCCTACCCCTGCTCTAGGAAAAAGCAATGGTAATAAAAATACTTTAAAAGAAGGAGAACGTGGAAATTCCGCAACTTATATCGAAAAAACAGCGGCAGCATTTTTGTAGTTTGTAGTTCATTTGATTTGATTCATATAGTTAGTGACCTTTGAACCTGCACGATAAGGCCGGGTTTAACTATATGATAAAACTATCCAGTATCGATTAATTAAATGATTACAGAAGTACATTTATTTGTTCTTTCTGGAATTAACAAAGCTCGTCTGTCTTCATCCGATTGATTTGTTTCTGGATTAGAGGAATAAAAGAAACGAAAGTATGGTTTCTAAAAAGGTTAGTGAAAGATATGTAAACAGCTAAATAAATTTTCACGTGACCCACTTTTAGGAAAATCAATGGAAAACACTTAATACATCAACCATAAAATATACATAAACGTAAGATACGTACTTTAAAATGTAAACACCTAGTAATTTTTAAATGGAACGATAAATCGGTAGCTATCTAAAAAAGTAATAAATAAAACTTTTATATAAAAGTAGGTAACATAAACTGATACATGGAAATAGTTTCAATGTCTCGAAAAGACTGAGGATAAGAAATAAAAAAGTGTTTTTGCTATTCGATCTGTGGGTCATTTATAGAACTAGATTTTATAATAAATACATTTCAATTACCAACCATTGAAAAAACGTTTAAATATAAAAAGGTTTTCAAGAAAAAGCATATTGCAAAAATATTGCTTCACCGGTCAGCGATGAATCTACAATTTTTTTCTTGAAACTGTATATCTCCTTTTGTTTAAAAATATAATATACAAATTCGAGATAAAAAACGGATATTTAACTTATAACAATAAGTACTTTGTGGATAAAGTTTAAAACGCAATGAACAATATGTTCCATGTATTTTTTTATTTTAAACGTTACTGTCAATACCCTACCATACACGTGTGTTACTTTACCAGGGACATTCAAACTGATGACCACTGACCCTTTATTAGCTCACTGATGAGTAAACGATAAGCATGTTTACGTATTATAGTGTCCAATATATTGAATGTCTGCATTATTTTTACATATCACTAGACAATTAAGACAACAAGAAAAATATAAAAAAGCAAAAAATTTCGAAACGTTCAGTTATAATTATTAACTTAACACTATCAGGGTTGCAAATATTGTGAAACACTTCTAATTAATATAAATAATAGCAAACACTGCAGATAATTTCACTAAAAATGTTATTAGAAAACTCCTAACAAGTTTTAAGGTCACGCGGATAGAGTTTTTATGTCAAAGTATTAAAACTAGAACAGCTCTACTTATCGCTAACAATTGACAAGAATGAGTGGGAAGTCAATAAAACTTAATTCTACTTGAATATTTTCGAGGTTTTTATTGAGCCTAAGAGCCTTTTTGGCTTCTATGCTTTCCAAAAAAGAAGCTTTTTACTTTTATTTACACCACCGTACAAGATTACAATAGAGTTTTCATTTTAATTATGATTCAAAGAGGCACAATATTCGGAGAAGCTATTTTTTTGCCTTTTTATTTAATACAGGCCATCATCATCATATCATCATAAGGTCGTCAGTCCTAAGACTGGTTGGACACGTACCTCCACTCTTTCCTATCCTGAGCTAAACTTCGCATTTCCCTAAAACTAGAACAACCCACATCCTTAACTATTTGCGAACAGTAATCTAATCTAGGTCTACCTCTACCCCTCCTAACTCCTGTTTCTGCCTCTAATATGTCTCTGACTAGACCTTCATGCCTGAGAAGGTGTCCTACCAACCTATCTCGCCTATTTCGTATTGACTTCCATAGAGTCCTCTGTTCTCCTATTCATTCTAATGCCTCTTCACTTCTAACCTTTTCTACAGTCCAAGTGTTCTTTTATTTTTACGTTAAAAGCTCTCTCACTTTGTCCACTATAAAAGCCATCACAAGTATTGCCCTGAATTCTACAATATTTATGTATTAGTCAACAGTTTTCTCAAATTACTCAGAACTGATACTGCTGGAACACGGCTGTCGGACGTACTTACCTATTATTTAACCATTTCCAGGATTGGACGTCTCGTTATGACAAAAGCTTGAAATGTATTTTTTTCTACGACCAAACCAGGATATCAAACCTTATGATACCAAAATTGGCACAAAACCAAAGTGTTTTTTTCGAACATTGACTGCTTGCAATATTATTACTCTGTTGGAGATCGCTGTTTTTAGGGTTCCTTACGTCCGAATGAAAACCGGAACCCGTATAGGATCATTCGTGTGTCTGTCGGTCCGTTTTTTTTTATTACTCATACTCATTTCAACTATTTACATAAGTATACATGCCGTTTGTGTTACATCAGGTGCTACGCTTGTTGAACATCTAGGAGCATATAAATGTCCATAAACCGTTAAAAATTGGTAAAAATAAAACAGACTGCTTGATTTCCTGTCCCTGTCATTCATTATAATTACAAATTTCTCATTATCTAAACCTAAATCGATACCTAACGTATTCATTTGCAGACACAGAGAGGGTGAGCGACCGCCTGCACAAGTCCGTCCGTAACAAGCTTGAAACTTTAGCGATTGAACTATTTACTGTACATACATACGCGTATATATATACATGTATCTATAGTCCATGTTGTAGTCTGTCTGATATCTAAATATTAACCGTATACTGAGATAGACTTTTGGGGAGGAATGGGTGCGAGGGTGAAACTGTCTAGGGGTGCAAATCTCACGGGATTTGTCAGCGATCGAAAAATCGCAGATGTTTCCGATTTTAAAGAATATATTGCATGAAATGGGACGTTTGTACTACACACAATTTACACTTTCTAAAATTAATTTGGCAGATTACACCTTTAGTTAACTATAGTCCAACGACAAACTTAAATAGCAGAGATACATCTTCAAAATGTATGTAATTAATGAAAATTAGAATAATAATTGTTTCGAACAATGGACTTCAGTATAGAAATTTACGAACTTAATAGTAAATAGAGATAGAGTTTTGATTTCAAACAAATCTGAATATAAATAATATAGCACGAAGTACCATTAAATAAAACTATACCAATCTTTTGTTATTATACCTATAAAATTCAGTTTTTTAATTACAAAAGACTCTGAAACTTTTCTATTTACACTTTTGATGTACCCTTGCCCAATCTTCAATTTGTTATTAAATTTTAATCAACACCGCATATTTGTAATTAATTTACATTTTAATTGAGTTCATTACTATGTACCTAGTTCTAATTATATTTCAAACGTGTTCATTAGCAGTTCTCAACTCCTCACGCCAGTCCATAGTCATAAGTACTTTTGTTTTCATTCATAAAGCAGTAGTCAAAACGAAAAGTTAGTGCTGGTGTCACAATGATGACTTTTTCTAGCAATCCAATTTTTGACAAGAAAATTAATAGCAATTAGTAATTTGAAATGTCACCATTCTTATTGTTTCTATTTAAGAACTTAAAATAGTCGAAAAAATTGGTTAATAAAATCATTGGTAAAACAAGTCTTGGATATACATTTGCTGCAATAGTTCAATAAAACGTTTCTGCCTCATAATTAGGGAACTGTTCAGTGCTGGGGTATCTTAGGATTTAATTGGTTAAAAAACGCACTCAGAATTATATCAAAACGTTTCGTAATCTTGGTTCTAATTGGGCAAACTTTTCAGTTCAATGAGATTATTAATTAGGCCTAAGTCGTTAATTTTATTAAATGCTAGTTATGCTCGTCTAAATTCGAGGGGCGAGTATTGTTGGTTTAGTTCGGAGATATTTTCAATAATTTTACAAAACGTCAAATATAAAGAATCTAATAAAATTATTACATGTCATTAGGATGTATCTATATATGCAATATAGACATTTAAACTCAACCACTTTTTGGCAATTGTTTAGTTCCAACTCGAATACGCATAATATATAATATACGTTTATAAACCCCAGCCTTTAAAAAGTTAAATCAATCGCTTTTCTGGCATTTAACACAACTTTTGCCATTTTCTACAATCTTTAAAGAAAAGTGCAACTTTGGGCTGAATATTAAATATTATTAAATGTGATACCTTATTTAAGTTGTCAGTATAGTATATTCTAATAACGATGATGCTTGAAGACCTTTTTACCTTTTAAATTTTGTCTTACATCTAAGAGATAATTACGATGTAGTAATGCTTTTTATTGAATCGCTCACTTCAAAGCGTAAGTAGATTCAAGATACGATGTAGATTTTGTCATAAAAATTAACAGCAGATGCACTTTCTATTTATGATGCACTTCAACGAATGTGGCGATTAATATTAGAACATTTCAAACGTTGGCTCGTCGAAATTAATACACGAGAAAAATTATATGCCCGAGCTGCCACCTACACCAAATACGTATTCTGAAACTCAGGCAAATAACTTTTGATTTCAGAAAAGTTCTTTTTTGCATTTTAAGGAGTTTACGTATTGTTAGGCATTGAAATCGTTGTGTTAATTTAATTAATTTTAAAGTTAAATGAAATCCATTTGCATCTAGTATTTTGTAGACCCTTTTCTAAGTCGTATCACGTTAGGGACCGTCCATTAATTACGGGAAGTTAATAAGGGAGAAGGGGAGGCAGCAAAATCTCATCAAATCTCATCAAATTAAAAAAAAAAACACATCTAGTGGACCTCCCCTCATACCATCAATTGTGAAATAAGGCTTTACCATCATATAATGTACTTTTTGGTTATCTATACTTTTAATCTTTTAATTCGCACAATAGAGAAGATGAAGAATTTGTTTACGTACCTTTGGTTTAAGGCCTTTCGTGGTTGTACAGGAACTGCAGTCGACTGCTGCAAATTAAATGCCACAGATGAGTCGGTAGATTCAAAGGGAATAAATTGAGCATCCACTACTGCTATAATGGCATCGAAACCTCTGCAAGTTAGTCGTAAAGTGCAAGATTCACATCCGCTGATAGTTACTCTTTCTTGATATAAAAAAAGAAATTCAAAATTAATTTAAACACAAACAGTATTTGTGAACGATTATTAGTTATTCTGAATAGGTAAGACAAAACTTTAACATTTTCTTGAGGAGTTATGTGTGAAAAGAGTTGAAATACTTTGGTGAGGCCATACAGTGGATAAGGGAAGAAATAAATTCAAAATCCAATAAAAAGCTACAAAGAAATAACAATTTTTTAAAGCCGTTAAAAATCACGCACTCTTAACAATGCTAAAAATGTTTTATTTTTCGTCTGGTTGTTAATATTTAGCTTCTATTTTCTTTTACTGCTAATTTTTGACATATTTACTAAATTATTACTTGTAAAAGTCACACCAACGTTTCGTCTTATGTAAGCTGTTTTTCAAGACTANAGAAATATTTGAGTAATTGTTATTAAACCCATCAAAAGCAATTTACCAAGAAATAATTAAAAGAAAGATATTCTCTTTGTTAACTTTAATTAACGTTTTATTCACATTTTCTTTTTTGAAACGAGTAGGAGAAATTCAGAATGTTAAAAAAAATAAATTCGGTACAAAGGTCTAGCTAAAACTAAAAATTACCGTAGCTTATTTATATTTTACCTAAATATCCAGTGCAGTTCTCATAAAATAAACATAATAAAATTAATATTAATTCCACGGGCATTTCCAGCCTAATTTTGCCACCAATGTGTTGCTTTAACAGTGCATCGCATGTTTACAGTCGCACTTGACACAAAAAGTTGTCATTTGGCTTTTTCACAACCCTTCCATACATGCATGACATTTTTTGAAAATGTTCTTAACTTTTAGTACACCCATTAAAAGTTTTTTACACTTTTGGTACACATTAACGCATAAAACACCATTTCGCTTTAAGTACTGACCATTCCAACTTTCTCCGTCGAAGACCGACGCTGAAATGCGAGCTTTCGTACCCGGCGTCGTGACGGCTGTTTTGTCTAGCACTTGTTTTAACCCCCTACCACCCTCCCAAGGTTGCGTTGCGTCACTGGCATTTACCCTAAATACATTCGGGGGATTTCTCTCTTATATTGCCCACGTTACAATTGGAACCAAGCGGGGTTGATACTAGAACTATATTTATAAGAGTACGATAGAAGAAATTAGATTTTTAAAGAAATATTTATCGATTTTCACAAAAGCACTCAAGGAGATAAGATTTTAAGTATCAACAGTGATTATTCATCTAAATATTGTTGCTTTTTTCTTTGTAGGAGGAAAATATTAACCGTTTAAGTCTTAAAGCTTTCAACGAATTTCGATTGAACTAAAACAGAGACGGAATTAGGGAAGATTTACAGATGACTAATGTTGTAAATAGTATCAATAGACTTCATTTTTTTTTATAATTAAAAACTTATGCGTATTAGACTTTTGTGCTTCAGTTTCTATTTAAAGGATTTTCATAAATTAAATTCAGAACATACCTTAAATTCTCTATATTCATTAAACTAATCATGATAATGATAACAAACTGACTACTGTTTATAATAAGTTTGATTCTTTACACTTTTCGTATACAAGAAAAATACGGAAAAAGGTGTAAATATGATTTAAAACTTTTAAATAGTCTTATCTAGAACTTCTGAGACATTTTGACAATGATATTTTTAAGTCAATAATTCATAACAGAAGAGTAAATATCAAAAGGTCCTGTAGAGTTTTTATTGTATTTGAGGAAAAACATGTAAAGTTGCCTTGCTATTAGAGGGACTAAAGAAAGTCAGATATCTCACCGTTTTTACTATATTGTTAGGTCATCAATCTACGTCTGTATGTCAAATTTCACCTTAATAGGCACATAAATGAGAGGTCGGAAAGGCTGTAATGATTAAGCGACCTGGTTTAGCAGTCTAAATCATAGCTTAACGTTAAATTAAAGCTGGCACGAACCGCTGCAACCGGGTACGACAGTCCTAGTCCAAATTTTTCTGGGTTTCCTTGGATTGTTTAGACAACTTGATAAATTTTGACTTTTCATTTGTCGGTCGACAATTCATAAAAGGAGACTGAAGACGGTCTTCCACCCTATCCTCCGGATTTACACTAGAATATAGTTCGGAGGATTTTAGGTTTGTGACGTGCAGACTCACAGACGAATGAACAGCCAGTTGAAGTAGCAATTATTATAAAAACTGTGTATTACACAAAAAAGAGAAATTTTACGTCTCTATGTCCTACTTAACGATGCGTACCGTATATTTTATTGTATTTAACCGTCATTATGCATAGAAGTGAACACTTTAAACAGGAGTTTAAGCGTGAAGGTTAAAGGCATAGCAGTTATTTTGATACAATTATATAAATCATCTAAATTTAAAAAAAATTGAAATTGTATTTTTTTTTGTTAAAATAATTGTCATACATTACGAATACACAAAGCGGTGCGACTACATTGAAATTAGTTAGTTGGATAATTTCACATTAAAATAGTAGGCAGTCTGTTGCCTCATCCTTTTCAGGTCATTCGCTATAACTTTTTTCAAATCTAATCCGAGTAGACAAAAGTATTAAGTGTAAATTGCAGTAAGTGTTTCAATATTTAGTAGGATTATACAACAATTACAAAATTGTTGAAAAGATCAATTTATTATCACAGAGAGAAAAATCTTAGAAAAATTGCCATGCTCGTCACTGTAAAGTGGATGCAATAAATATGGATTGACAAAATTCAATATTAGTCCAACAATTTTATAAGAGAACCTTAAAAACTTTTCTAAAAGGCATAGGGATTTCTCTCTCCATGACTTGCATGTTTTTTTAAAAAGGTACTATAAATAATATGACACCTTTATCAACAATATTGTGCAATTATTTTTTATTCCTGGAATAAAGATAGCAGTTTTTGTTAAGTGGAAGATGGATAATTATAATATTATTTATATATGGTATATACTTCAAAGATAAATTGATCTTCTGTACAGATACGAAACAATTCTAAGTATATATATATATATATCATACTTCAAAACTTTACACCACATTCATTCCACATCGAAATGAATCGCTGGGTTGGTAAAGTTGCAGTTGTAACTGGTGCAAGTGCTGGTATTGGTGCAGTTCTTGCTGAAAAATTGGTTAAAGAAGGTCTTCAGGTACGTTTCATGTAGCTTTACTTTTTTGGAAATTAGTTTGTAAGGGGTACACCTTTAATAGTATATTACGCACCAAGGAAAGGGAATACGGCATCCCTTTCGGGTCTGAATTGCCACGCGGAAGATGGTAATAGATACCATTTCTTGTTTGGGAGGATGAACTTTCGTTTCTGAAATCAGAGAAAATTCTGGGACCGATCTAGCAGTTTTTAGCCCCTCTGGGAAAAATAATAACTATATAAGCCATGAGGATGTTGCAATTATTAACTGACCGATGTATCATGTACGTAATATTATTGAAATTTAATCTACTGCGGCTTCTGAACAAGTGTACAACACTGCAACGTGACGGAAATGGATCTCCAGGAAACTTTGTTAAATTAATGGAAAAATAATATCCGAATTTTTGCTTATATAGACAAGCGAATCAACTTGTAGAACCCCCTTAAACATCTCGTTGTAAGATAAAATGATATTCCCCAAAAGATATTAAATAACTGTACTTCCCTCAACGCAGGTGGGGAATCATTGTGATACATAAACGAAACGAAAAGGGTTGCCGTGCATTTTCAACTCAAAAATCATGAATAATCTTTACATTTCGAATTGGTTCCTTCTTTTTTATTTTTCTTCCTGCTAGTCTGCTTATTAGGAGACGACATTAAGAAAAATATAGAAAATCTATTGGTCCCTCTAAGAATTTATAGCCTCTAGCTGAAATAGTGATTAAAAAAAAAACTTAAAAGATACTTTTTTGACTAATTGCTAAGCACTGTGGTTTTCTCTCCGTGCAACCTCTCGGAGGCCTCAATTTTGCCCCCCTCATTTTTGCCGTTCTGGGCATTTGGTCGGCTGCCCCCTCCCTTTGATCGGGTTCTGAGCCCCCACCATACACGCTTCGTGCCTCTATATGGCTAAATGTTTTTGTATTTCTACATTTTCAAACATTTTAGGTGGTTGGTCTTGCTAGACGTGAGGAGCCAATAAAAAGTCTTTCTAAAAAATTACAAGGACAAAAAGGAAAATTGTACGCTTTAAAAGTTGATCTAAGCAAGCCCGATGAAATAATAAATGCGTTTAAATGGGTAAAAGACAACTTGGGTCCAGTCCACATTCTTGTAAATAACGCTGGTCTCGCTATAAACGACAGTTTGAGTGATGGAAACTATGAATCATGGAAACAAGTACTTGATGTTAATGTTTTGGGCCTTTCTGTTGCTACGAGGGAAGCCGTAAAACAAATGAAAGAAAACAAAATCGACGGCCATATTGTTCATGTAAACAGCATCCTTGGTCACAGATTAGTTACAATGCCCGGGTTGAATATGTATCCCGCTTCTAAATATGCGGTTACCGCATTAACGGAAACTTTGCTCAACGAGTTCAACCAAAAAAATTTAAAAATTAAAATTTCGGTAGGTAGCTAGATAGATAGGTACTCATTTTCACGGGGGACAATTTAAAATTGAAGGTTGATTAAAGTAAACACCATGAGGCAATTACTATACGTTTTGGGGTTCTTACCAAGAAAAAGAAAAAAAAACGTGTAATTATACAACACGCTACTGAAGTGAAACTTCTTCAAATACACAAACATACCGGGATAGGGGTTAAGGAATTGGTTTAATGGTATTATTTGTACAGTATACTTCGCACGGGTGCAATGCTGATAGTAAATATACTATAGAATGTCTTTATATACAACAATCACAGCTTTTTTGTCATTAACCAATACAAACCGGCCGGTGCTGCCGCAACCGCTATGTCCCTGCATTTTAAGTCTGTAATATCTTCGAAAATATTCATTTAAATTACATGCTGTAAAGGGCCATATTGATCTATATTAAATGCACAATGTATTTAAAAGTACTTAATTGGATAAGGATTAATGCTGTATTGCTTAAAATCGGTTCGTGAATAAGCCATTATTTCTTGTAAAAAGTAAAGGACAAAAAATAATTATTGTGGGTTATCCCTAAGAGATAAGACATATACCGTCGCGGACTTTTTTGTAGACCTTTTTAAGGTGTACAATACTGTAGTATATTAATTTGATCTATCTCGTAAGGTTCAGCCAGCGTTTGCAATGTTAGCGCAAAATATGTGTTTATTTACGACATCACATTACAAACCTCTAAAATTATCAGTGTTTCTCTACTATATTATGCATGTATTATACATACAAACCTTCCTCTTGAATTACTCTATCTATTAAAAAAAACCGCATTAAAATCCGTTGCGTAGTTTTAAAGATTTAAGCATACATAGGGACAGACAGCGGGGGAAATGCGTTGCATGATTTCGTTACATAGCAACTCGCATGAAACGAACTTACCCTACCGTGCGTAAAGAAGTTTCACTTCAAAAAAGGTGTTACATTGCAGTCTATCTTAATTTCTTCTCCAGTTTTATGTTTGTCCAAATGCATTACCACAGATTGATAAAGATTACTTTTTAAGAGCGTTAGTCCAGGTGTAGTTAAAACAGACTTCCGAAGAGTAGCTGGATATACACCACAAAACGCAGAAGAAAATTTCCCGGGCATTACCTCCGAAGAAGTAGCAGACGCAATAATTTACGTGCTGAGTACGCCTCCGACAGTACAGGTATAATAACATTTTCATCTGTTTAGTGTTTTTTATTTCTTTTATTAACGTATTATCGTGTTTATTTTAGATAAGGGAATTAATACTAACCGCAGTTGGAGAATCTTTCCAGTGAAACTGTGCAAAACTTAACTGCTTTACACTTCTAGTGTTATTGTTGACACTAGACTGTTCAAAGTTGACGCAAGTTAAACGACTACATAAAATGAGAAATAAAAATAAAACTAACAACTACAAATTGATATAAAATAAGTACTTTTTGTTATTGCTAAATAATAATGTTTCAATTATGAAGTTATGATTGTTGATGGAATTAAAAAATTAAAAAAAAAACGGACAGACAGACACACGAGTCATCCTATAAGGTATTATAGCAAGCTCGTTCATTTGATATGTCATATATACTGTTTGGAACACTTTTTTTTAATTTTCTATTGGCCCCCCAAAAATGACCCCCATATTCAAAATTAATTTATTTACGACGTATGCGTCCGTGTTTGGGTCACCGAAATTGACTCGGTGGTTTTGAGGGTTCCTGAACACGAATATTTATGTAGTCGGTGATTACAATTATTGGTTGCATAAAAATATACTGGGGGTAAAAGCCCTCTTGTTTCTCAAAATTTTTAAATTACCTACTAATTAATGCACTGTTGTTGATCTAGAGGATAGAGTTGTTGATCTAGAGGATAGAATTTTATTGTTTCTTATTTATGTTTGATTTTATGATAGACGCACTTTTGATAGTTGCTACCGTTTTCATTGTTCGTAGTGCGCTGCGCACGCAACTTCCGTCCCATGTTGAAAGTTTACTCTCAATGCGCCAAAAGAAGTATAACTTCTTTAATTTTTCCTTTCATCAATCTCCTCTTTTGTCGATCGCTACTTATTATTCTTAATCTTCTTTTGCTTGCCACAGTTTATTCTTCCTTAACTTGTAAAGTATGTATTACACATTTATTTTCAGTGATCTGTTTTCTGTTATTTTTTTCATTATCTCGTAGATCTTCAAAACTGCTTCCAGTCTCCATTTATTCGTCCTACACTTTTGTTTGATTACATCTAGGTTTTAATTTGAAAAAACTATTCAGTGTATAAAAAAGGTAATTCCTTAATAGAAATAGTTTGTAGTCGGAATTTTCCCTTTTCTATGTTGAATATTTAAAAATTAAAACTATTAAAGTACACGACAGTTTCTGCAAACCGTAGTTTCAGTTCCAATCAAATAGGGAAGTTAGTCTACAAAATAATATTTAATAAGTATATTACTTGTGATATACATATAATTGATTAAGTCGGACAGAACCGTGTCAATCAACTCAAACAAAATAATTCATGAAATGTGGAGCAGGCAACTAACACTTGTAAAAATATTTCATAATAATAATAATAATAACTACGATATAGCACATGTATAAAGAAAACAACTACTAACGGATTAAATTAGTTATCTTGCAACATTTGTTCTTCGCGCATTAATAGAAATGAATCGGTGGGTTGGCAAAGTTGCAGTCGTAACTGGTGCTAGTGCTGGAATTGGTGCAGCTCTATGTGAAAAATTAGTCAAAGAAGGCTTGCAAGTATGTTTTGTGAAAACAATTTTTATGCCAGTTAATAATTTTATGTGTTCCAAGCTGTAATATACCGAATTACTTGTGAAAAATTAACAATACTTTTAATCTACAAATGAAAAATAGAATTGTAAAATTGCCTGTAATGATTTAAATTCGATTGAATGATTTCTATCAGATCCATATATAGAGAAAAATTTCGGGCCCGGGGACTAAATTTTTTACAACTATTTTTAATTAATTGTGCCACAATAAAGAACGTAACAATTCTTGTTTTTAACAGCCTTAAAAGTAAGACTTTTTATGAAATGCTTAAATTGACAACAAAAAAACAGAAAATGTGGATTCGCCTCTAGTGCTAGCGCTAGAAACATGAGGAAGCAACTCCAACTGTCGACGGCCTTTAGAACCCGAATCAGGATAGCACAAGTACTGAAATGCTCTTGAATGTTTCTATTGTTCTCTAGAATTATCCTCAAGTAGAATTACCTAGAATGAAGCGGAAGAATCGGGAATGTTCTGGAATGTTCGGAAATTATTATTTATAGTTCTGTGTATTAGTATAGTATTGTGATAGCTTCTATCCCTGCAAAAAGGCATTTTATACTATATATTTTTACCAAAGTATTTTAAAAACGGTTCGGAATCTCCTATAATGTTCCAGTTGTTTCCAGTATGTTTACGTTTTGGGGTGTGGGTCGACCATCGGCTATTAAACATCCCTTTATAAATTTTCTAAGGGGGTCTTCAGCTAGAATGCTTTCGAATATCTAGGATTGTCCTTAAGTGGAACTGGATCGGAAGAATCAAAAACCTTCTCTTTCTAAATGTTGGAGAACCACATGATGTTTGAGTTCTGACACTAAATTATGACATTTTCATATATTTCAACCAGACTGTCTTAAAACACCTTGAAATCTATATTATTATTACATTCCATAATCTTCCCCTGAGTGGTATCAACAATATAATACGTGCCAAATAAAGGATGAAAAGATTTTTTATTTTAAAAAACAATTAACGTTTCGCCTCAGCTTAGTGTCTTTATCAAGGTATCTTTAAAAGTCGATGATAGTTAATGCATTAATCAGCCGTAAATGCATCCCATAAAGAAACATAAATCACAAACACAGGTAAAGATAAAATAATAAATAATTAAAATCATTGAAAAATTGAATAATAAAATCATAAATAAATATAAAAACAGCAAAACACGCTCTAATCTGAGGCGAAACGTTGGTTGTTTTTAAAATAAAAAAACTTTTCATCTTTTTATTTGGTACGTATTGTTTTGTTGAAACTTCTGTATTATGTAATTCTTATACATGTTCATTGATTTTGGTTCTGAGTAGATTTGTTGAACATTAAGTAATGTATTTTACTTTGTGACTAACGCAGATCAGATGTTATTTAACAAAATTGTATTCACTAAAATAATATAGGATCTGATAACATTAAAGGCAATGACGGATTATCCATAAGGCAAAGTAGGCATATTCCTAGGGGCGCGCGAGGAAGTTTTTAAAACTAAAAAAAAAATAAGGAAGTACCTAATAAAAAAGCAGTATTTTGTAAAATATATGACCGCCTATGAGGTGCTAGCCTAGAGCGCTCTCGACATTTAATCTGCCTCTGATTAAAGGTATTTTTACCATATTATAATATAATGGACAAATTAAATTTCAAATACATTCAATTACCCTCTAATGCTAACCATAATATACACGTGAACTTTAGGTAATTGGTTTCGCCAGGCGTGCAGAACCGATAGAAGAGCTTTCTAAAAAATTGCGAGGACAAAAAGGAAAACTGTATGCTTTACGAGTCGGCGTAAGCAATCCTGATGAAATCGTGACTGCGTTTCAATGGGTGAAGGACAATTTGGGTCCAACCCACATCCTTATAAACAATGCTGGTATTGCCATAAACACCAGCTTGAGTGATGGCGATTACGACAAATGGAAACAAATCCTTGACGTTAACGTATTGGGTCTTTCTGTCGCGACAAGAGAAGCTGTAAAACAAATGAAAGAAAACAAAATTGACGGTCACATTGTTCACTTAAACAGCGTCTATGGTCATACAATTGTTAAAAAACAATTTAATATGTATTTTGCTTCCAAATATGCGGTTACCGCACTTGCAGAAACGCTCATCAACGAAATCAACGAAGAAAAGTTGAAAATTAAAGTTACAGTAAGTGCTACCTAATACAGTCGAACCTGGATAGGTGAGAGCTCAAGGTTTCTCACTAACCCGAGTTTCTAGCTTACAGAGTTACAGGAGGAATTTGTCTCACTTATAGAGGTCTATAAAAATACAGTTCAACACATTGAGTTTTCGTATAGACTATGAGGAAGTACAGGACGTTTCTTCGCAACGNGTTTAGTTCTGCAAACGGGCCTTTTTTCGTCGTTTTTTGGAACAATTTACAGTGCTAATTTGGCAGTATTTTAGTTGAGTGAAAAATTAATGAATTATTTTTACTCGGGAAAATAGCAAAAAAAGAATTGTATTATTGTACATATTTAGTAATAAAGTTGAACTTAGTAACTACCGTACTGGTTGAAATAAATATTATTAAATTGAGGGTGTCGGTAGGAAAATACTTGTGAACAAAACGATGAGCTGATGTTGTTACATTTATTAATTCTCAAATTTTCGCCTTTATTCTTGGCTTCATCAGGAGATCACTACGAAAATGTATATAAAATTGAAAAGATAATATTGCATGTTGTAAATTCATTATTAAAGGCATAATTATTGTAACTGTAAACTATATGATGAGATACAGTCGAACCTGGATAAGTGAGAACTCAAGGGACCGCGATCTGTTTCTCTCTTATAGAGGTTTCTCACTAATCCGAGTTTCTAGCTTACAGAGTTGCAGGAGGAATTTGTCTCACTTATAGAGGTCTATAAAAATACGATTCGACAACACATTGAGTTTCCGTTTAGACATTATGAGGAAGCACAGGACCTTTCTTTGCAACTGCGTTTATGAACTGACTGTAATAAGATTGATAAACAAGTCGGTACGCACATTTGGCTATAATAAAATAATAAAGACTTGCTCGGTCATTCGCAGATTTGGTCATTCGAATGAAATAAGAGTCTCTTGAAATTTAAGAACGAGTCATAAAATAGCAAAAGTAAATTGTCGCTTATAGAGGTATAGACAGGTAGCAATCTCACTTAAGGAGGTTCGGGCATGAAAAATGACTCTCACTTATACAGGTTTTAAGTTTATCACTTATAGAGGCTTTAGAACAGCGGTCGGAGAACTTTTTTAATCATTACCCCAAAATATTTTTGTGTAAGTTGATATTACCCCATGGCGAAGAGCAAAAAAAAAACGAAATCGCCTCTTTTTAGCATCTTTCATATTATAGCCCCCATGATAATTTTGAAAAGAAAACAATAACTAAAAATTTAATTTAGGTTTATAAAATAGCAAATTAAAAATATATACTTTTTACTCACAAAAGTTTCATTTTTACCCCCAAAAATTTCATTTTTACTCTATTTGGGGTAAATTACCCTGGTTCCCCGACCGCTGATGTAATAGTATTTTAAGATGCATCAACTTACATGTCCGTGCTTGTCCATTTCGTTGTTTGTTAGTTTAACCTTTTCGAAGGAAACCACTTGTTTTCTGAGCTGCTCTCCAGTAAAGGGTGAATCGGGATGAGCGTAGAGCCGACATGGGGCGGGTG